CTTAGTTGTTAAGGATATTTATATAATTGCAAATGTAGTTTCAAAATCTTAATAAAGCACTAGTGTGACTGCTTAAGTTTAAAAAAAAAAAAAAAAAAAAAGAATCTTAATAAAATATTAATATAACTGTTTAAGATTGAAAAAAAACATATATATATTTTTAACCAATCAAAATTAATTATATAAAAATTAACTAATCAGAATTAATTATATATGCATTAAAAATTAACATATATATATATAAATTAAATGTTTTTTAATATCCTGTACTATATAAGCAGTGTTGTATAATAAATTTTAAACCAGAAATTTTTGTTAAAACATAAAAGATAATTTTTTAAACGTTTTGAGTATTAATGATGTTTTAAAAAAGCTTTCAATTTAACATTACATGAAATTGCATCTAATCTTGTAATATTTTGTAATCTACATAAAAAATCTTTTTTTTTGAATTTGTATACTTGCAAAAATAAGTAATACAATCACTATCATCATTATATTACTGTAATTTGCATAGCAGGTTTTAATTCTGATTGGTCAATTATTAAATTAACCAACCATATGTTAGCTATAAATTACATAATAAAAACATGCCTTTAAATCAATGTTGTTAATGTCATTATTTGGACTTTTGAACTATGGTTATTTAACCAGTTCAAGTCAAGTCATAAGACATCGAATTAGTTAAATAACTTTAATGTCCACCGATATGCATAGAATATACATAGTTCTATTGGTTTATAATCATACAATTACATATTTTAGATATCAGATTGTATTGACTCAGTTAATTGATTAAATAACCGATTCATTAGTTCAAATAGTTAATAACATTGTCTCGGTTAAATTAACAACACTGCTCTAAATCCCATGCCTCCAACTGGGTAGCCGCAATTTGGGGATTTGTATTAATATACGGCCCGCCTCATGTTCGTTCAATAACTTTTAATAAAAATCATGAGTTTCTCCAGTTGGGCAATCCCCTGCGACAATAAATATTCATTTTTTTTATTCGCGTTCATTAGTCTAGGCATAAAGTTATTTGCATTTAAATTTATGAGTCGCACGAATAACAAGTAGCGAATATAATACAAACAGGAACACGGAAATTATGCGATTTTTTTTAGTGCGATTCTTTTACATAATTATTTTAATTATTATGCATTAATTTTTGTGTAACTGATAGCTTTCAACGAACCCAAATAACGTAAATTCTGTGTCCCTGAGTACAAATGAGAGGCATGACTATTTAATGTCGATCACTTCTCGACCAACCATACCCCCAAAAAAATTTTTTCATGATTAGTCACGATCAAACAAATCAAATAATCGATCATTCCTTAATTGATCGTCATCTTTATCCAAAGTTCTTCTGATCTCTTTTACTTCCTCTCCACATCTCAAACATTTCCAAGTTACTCCTTCTTGAATCATTTTCGTCCTTATGCAGTAATAACAATATTGGTGGCCACAATTAGTTTCATATGAATTATGCAATCTTGTGGTGCTTACTGCCGTATTTGATAATGCTGAAGTAGACATTTGTTGCTCGTAACATATAGCACATATGTGAGCTGGTAAAAAATCAAAGGTTTGTGACTTGGAATTTGAAACATATTTTAATATATTTTTAAGTCTTCGCAAGTTAATGAACGGTATCAGAAATAGTAGAAATTCCTATATGCAAATTTCTTTAGTGAACGACTTCAACATATAAAATAAGAAAGTTACTGTTAGAGTTACAGGTGAAACTATTTATCATAGTTCCAACCTGAAGTTTTCATGGTACCATATATATCTTCGCCAGTTTCAGCAGTATTCACCAATTTTCATCAATTTCAGCTGCAACTCTAGTATTGTGATTTCCAAAAGTTATTTTCACAAAGGACATAATATAAACTAAGTCGACTAGCATTGAATTAATGCCTGCTTATTTTGTCTGGATTACTTCCCTTCGGAAAAATGACTTTCGGAAACTTGTGTTACATTGCAAATAAAAAATAGACAAATGAGAGACATACTGTGAAGACATGCCACACCAATTGCCGGTTCATGAATTCGAAGTCGACATGTCGTCTCGTCATTCGACGGGCATATACAAAGCGCATCGAAAGAATTCGATCTACTAATGTATAATATCTAACAAATAACCGGTTAGTATAATTCAGGTTAAAATTTTCATCAGTGGAATAAAAAGTGAAATAAAGAATGGTATTTACTTTCCGTCATATAAAAAAGCTAAAAAATTTGCCAATGATAAAATTTTGTATATATTTTCTAATTTTTGTAAAAGTTTCCAAAAAAATTTACGGCCATCATTCTAAAAAAAAGCATACATCCAACACAGGATTCATCAAAATATAACTTTTATCGCCCTTTAAGAAAAAGTAATGTAAAAAAAACGCACATCGTCTAGTTCACTCCATCTTTTAGCTGTCATCAATCGATTTATTCGCATCCAAACATATGGTCCACCAATTGTCATTGCACCAAACGCATACTTTTGAGATTTAGTGAGAGCTGCATCATTCCGAGTAGATTGGACTAAAAAAAATAAAATAGCAAATCGAAACAATCAGCGCTAAATAAATGATTTGCATATATTAACGCGTTGAACAAAAACACACATCCACCAGAATGTTGCCTTTCGTTTCGATACTTCAAATTTTGTAACTGTGCACCGTATGATGCGCCAGACTCATAAATGGAAAGGCGGTACATTATTAATTGTAATGCGGCAAGTAATTCTGGCTCAAAAACTTCTCTAAACTGAGGCTAAAAACAAATGTAAATTAATAATGTGTCAATAAAGAAAAAATTGGTTAAACTTACTTTAAACAAAGAAAACGTTTTCCAGAGTTGTCCTTTCAATATCTCAAAAAGTTGCAGATCTAGCAAGCTAGAATCTAACTGACTAGAACGCATAATTCTTAGTGGTGGGGGAGGAAATTTATAGGAAAACATTGTTAATTTCTGTAGGTCTACTGTTCCCTCCCAGTATCTGGTAGGCGCAAAAAAATCCGCGATTACGTGATAGACGATCCTTCCCCGGCACACGTAATACAAGTAAAATTTAACGGGGTACTGCTTATGGTTTCACGAGTATAAAATTGTGAAATATAATATTATAAAATAAATTTGTAAATATCTTTAAATCGAAGCTGCTTTATTGACTGTCAAAATAACTTGCGTATAAACTTTGTAACAACTTATTATTAAAGCAAAAATACTTCCTAGTACCGATCTTGATGGGGTTTTTAAAAAAAAATTATTTGAGTATTGTTTCTAATAGGGTCCTAAAAACAAACCCCAATTCTAACTTTTTTATATACTTTTGATATAGTAGTATAGTATTAGAGGTCCTTTTTTAAAACTCTATAAAGAACGATATGTAAATCGATTTTTTTTCAATAATAGTGCCAATTAAAGTTTTTTAAAATTAAGGTTAGAATTAGGGTTAGGTTGATATTAGTATAAGAAGATAGGCATAGGTAAAATTGCCTTCCCGACATTTTTAATTAGTACCCTAAAACAGGTTTCGAATGCCATTTTTCCTCAATATGTAATATCGCATTTTCATTGTTACACTGTATCAAATCATATGCGTAGAAGATCATTTGACCGGCGCGTCTACGGGCACGTGCCGATCATATGACTTGCACGTAGCGAAGAGCAGGGACCAGTGAAAATATCGATTTGTTTTGACAAAAATATCTATTAATTTGGTCAAAAATATTGATTTATATCGATTTGCTCTAATCATCCAATCAAAATGCAGAATTAAGTGTAATGTTATTAGAACCTTAAAAAAAATTTTTTTTCTTTATTTCTTATTAGATACAACATAATAATTATCAATTGTAATACATAGTAGTAAGAGCACAAAGTGATTCTTTGCTAAGATTTTGTCTATCATTATTCAAAATTTTGTTATATACAGAAAAACTTCATTCTATACTACAAGATGAAATAGAAAGCTAAATATAATTGAAAACAATTTTATTTAACAAAGGTAATTAATAAGAAACCTTATTTTAAAACTCATCTAAAGTATAAAATTTGATCATAACAAGATTAAAATTACAATAAATTGCTTATTTTTGAACTAAGTCAATTGAAGAATTTGTTACTTCTCAGATATAAAAATATGATATAATATTATAACTAATAGTAAACATAAGCATAAATTTGTGAAATTGATATAGATCATTGTTGCATCTCAAAAATTTGGTTATACAATATGCAGAGTGCATCAGCTAATTGACATAATTGTTTGAAGCAAAATGACAGACTTATACTTTTATATCTTTTGATGACCAAAAATTCAATTTTAATTCATTTATATTAAAAATATTAAAAAAGTAATTTTGTTATTTTTTAGTCATAATATTGTAATAAAATTTACTAAAAACTATCAAGCTGTAGCAAATTTTAAAGTAATGAGTGTCAAATAGAAGATCTTTTTATTTAAGGGTAGAGTATACGTAGATTATTTTTTATATGATCTTTGTAGTACAATATAATTTTTATAAAAAATAAAGCTTTGCTACTAATAAAACTTT